GCTAACGAGTCGAGAGGGAGTGTTGAAAGACAGCGGTGATGAACTTTAGACTTCTTGGTCCGAGTGCAAAACGCAAAGTGAATATATATTTATAATAGGTACTTAGTTCGCAACTTTGAATACTACCTCTAAGCCTATTATTCGCAGTGACGTCATCCAGTGACGTCACCCACTGACGTCACCCACTGACGTCATGCAATAACGTCATCCAGTGACGTCATTTCCTGACTTCGCCCTTACTGGTACATACCGGTACCCACCGGTATAGCGAAGCTTGGTCTTCCACTTGCTTCAACACTTGACGCAGCTTGACGAGGTGTCTTCTTCACAGCCGCTGTCTTTTCAACACTCCCTCTCGACTCGTTAGCTGCGGCACCTTGGATCCCAAGTCGATCGCGAATGTTTTCAAATTGTACAGCGGCGATCGGCTTGGTCATCATGTCTGCCAGCATATCTTGAGTCGGGCAATACTCCAAAACGACTTCACCTGATTCCACCTTCTCACGCACAAAATGGTAGCGTATGTCGATGTGTTTTGTTCTCTTATGGAACTCCGGGTTCTTGGCGAGAGCGATTGATCCTTGGTTGTCTTCATACATCTTGATCGCTTCGTCGCTTGTCATCTCACCAAGTTCCCCCAAAAGCACTTTGAGCCATACTGCTTCTTTGGTTGCTTCGGAAAGCGCCATGTATTCTGCTTCTGTTGAAGATAGCGTGACCGTCCGTTGTTTCTGGCTTTTCCAGCTGATGCATCCTCCGCTCATCATGAACACATAGCCGCTTGTACTTCGTCTTGACTCAATGTCGCCGGCCCAGTCTGCGTCGGTGTACCCGCAGATACGGCTTCCTTCTTCACGTGTAAACTCAAGACCATGATTGGGCGTTGCTTGCAGGTATCTCAGCACACGCTTCAAAGCTTGCCAGTGAGTCGGGCATGGGTCGGACGAGAACTGGGATAATGATCCCACTGCAGCAGCTAGATCCGGACGTGTGGCGACCATGAGATACATGATGCCTCCGACAGCACTTCGATATGGCACGTTGCACATGGTGTCTTCGTGCTTGCATTCTTGTTCACACATGTTCTTGGTTAGCTTCAGGCCGGGATCTTGAGGCGTCTTCACTGGCTTGCTGTTATCCATTCCGAACTTGGTTAACACGGACTTGAGAAACTTGGTTTGTTGTACAGTCACCATTCCCGTCTTACGGTCGTTCTTGATCTCCATGCCGAGAAAGTAATCGAGCTCACCGAGATCCGTCATTTCGAAGCGTTTGCTCAGCGCCATCTTGGTTGACTTGAGGAGTTCGTTGTTGCTGCTGGCCAGGATGAGATCATCGACGTAGAGCACCACGAGAATCATGTCTTGGTCGTCCCGCTTGATGTAGATGCAGTGGTCCGATTCGCACTTCTTGAATCCCATCTTGATCATGAACCCATCGATTGTTTGGTTCCACATGCGAGGCGATTGCTTCAAGCCGTAGAGTGATCTCTTTAGCTTGCACACATAGTCCGGCTGTGTTGCATCCAGGTATCCGTCCGGCTGGTCCATGTAGATGTCTTCGTTGAGGGAGCCGTTAAGAAACGCTGTCTTGACGTCCATCTGATGTAGCATTAGGCCGTACTTAGCCGCCATACTGAGCACCACACGAATCGATGTGAACTTGGCCACCGGTGCGAAAGTTTCTTCATAGTCAACTCCGAATTTCTGTGAGAATCCTTTGGCCACAAGTCTTGCCTTGAAACGTTCAACTTCGCCATCTTGATTCTCCTTTACACGAAAAACCCATCGGCACCCGATGGCCTTGCGACCTTTCGGAAGAGGCACGATTTCCCACGTGTCGTTTCTCTGAAGCGAATCGAACTCCGAGTCACACGCTTCTTTCCACTTGCCGGAGTCGCTTGATTCCATCGCCGACTTGAATGTAGTCGGCGTTTCCCCCACTGAATCAACGATGTAGGCTGCTTCAAAATCCATTGCAGCCGCTGACACATGCTCAAGCGACGGACCTCTGTATGTTCTTCGCTTGGGACTTGGAATGACGGTAGCTTTCTCAAGTGATTGAGTGCGCGTGTGTCTCTTGATGTTGCTCTTCGAAGACCTGGTGTCTTCGTTGTCATCGTCGCTCGAGTCCATGTCGTCGTCAGTTTTACCTTCTTCTTTTTCTTCGTCCTCATCATGATCATCAAACTCAACGACACTTGACTCATCGTTGTAGTTGCGCGGACCTTCATCAAACTTGTCTTCCATGAATGTGGCATCGCGACTGATCTTGATCGCTCCTGTTGACACTTCCTCAAATCGATATGACTTCTGGTGTTCGGCGTATCCCAGGAAACGACAGAGTGATGACTTGGAGTCGAACTTCGCGCGTTTGTCTTGAGGCACTTGAACATACGCGTGGCATCCAAACACTTTAAGGTTGGCCAGAATCGGTTTCTTCATCGTCCACACTTGATATGGAGACTTGTCTTGGTGAATGGCACGTGTTGGACAGCGGTTTCGAAGAAACATCGCCGTCATCACTGCTTCACCCCAGTAGCTCTTTCCCAGTCCAGCGTGTTCCATCATGTAACGCGCACACTCGACCAGCGTGCGATTCATTCTCTCAGCTACTCCGTTTAGCTGAGGAGTATATGGGGGTGTGAACCTTTGTTGTATTCCCCGTTCCGCGCAGAATCGTGCCAGCTTGTCGGACTTGTATTCACCCCCATTGTCGCTTTGAAGGTACTTCACGCGCTTTCCGGTTTGCGTTTCGGCCATCGCAGCGTATTCCATGAACTTCGCCGCAACTTCAGATTTGCTCTTGAGCAGATAGACGACACAGTATCTTGACTTGTCATCAATGAATGTCACGAAGTACCGTTTTCCACTGAAAGTTGCCATCGACATCGGTCCGCATACGTCGCTGTGAATCACTTCGAGGAGTTTGGAGGTGCGAGCTGTAGTGTTTGATTGGAAGCGCACTCGAGTCTGTTTTCCCAGAGCACAACCTTCACACACGTCCCACTTCTTCACCGAAGATATGTCGATGCCAATTCCAATGTTCTTCGTCACGATGCAATTGAGTCCATCATGACCTATGTGGCCAAGCCGAAGGTGCCAGAGGTACGACTTGGTGCCCCCTTGACATCCCGACGACTTGGCTGCATTTGCTTGTTCCGGCGCCACTGGAGTCATTTGCAGCTTGAACAGTTCTTTACCTTCACGGGCACCAATTTTCCACTTGGTCCCTTTCGCTTCTCCATAGCACCCATCCTTCGTGAACGTCACTGGGCCGACATCCTTGGTGAAGCGGCCGACCGAGAACAGGTTTCTGGATAACTTTGGGATGTGCCACACGTTTGTGAGCACACCTTTCTTCATCCCTTGGGGTGTCTTCATCGACATGACAATGTCCCCACTGCCGATTGCTTGGACGATTCCATCATCCGCGAGATGGACATCCACAGCGTCAAACCCCTTGTAGTTCCGCATGAACTTCTTGGAGCACGTCATGTGCTGCGTCGCCCCGGAGTCGACCAGCCAGATGTCGCTCGATTTCGCAGATGTCGTTTCACCGATCGAAAAGAGGTAGTCGCCCGAGTCTTCTTCTTGAGCGACGTTTGCACGTTGTGATCGATAGCGGTCGCCGCTGTCTTGAGCACGCTGTGGCCGGTGTCTCTCCGTGTTTTCTTGGATGCGCGAGGGGCACTCCGCCATCCAGTGACCAATCTTTCCGCAATTGTGGCACGGCCAGGACTTCTTCACTGGTCGCCCTTTGCGCTGATTGTCCCTTGTGATGAACGCTTGACCTTGCGAAGCTTCATCACCTTTACTTCCTTGCTCCTTCCGCTTCATTTCTTCATGAAGCAGTCGAGACGTCACGAGCTCCCAGCTAAGAGTGTCTGAGCGCGACTCCAAAGCTGTGATCAAGAATTGATACGAGTCACTCAGGCTGCCGAGGAGTGTGATCACCAGATCGTCCTCGCAGACTGGAGCCCCCACCGCTTCTAGCTGTTCCGCCAGCGTCTTGAGCTTGTTGATGTGTTCGAGCACATCGTCGCCTTCTTCCATCATTGTCGTGAAGAAGCGACGGCGCAAGAACAGCTTGTTGGCAAGACTCTTCTTCTCGAAGTGGTCTTCCAACCTTGACCATGCGTCGCATGCACCACTTGCCGACCGGACCAACGGTAGCTGGGAATCTTCCATGGCTAGACAGATCACTGCCATCGCCTTTCTTGACTTCCTCTTGTACGTCGCTTGGTCCAACTGAGTCTCGCACTGTTCCGCCTTGATCTCACCGCTGACGACCTCCCATAGGTCCCGTTCCTCCAGCACCATCTGCATCTTGAACTTCCAGGCGTGGAAGTTAGTTCCATCGAACTTGGAGATGCGGAGGGAGGGAGGCGTCCATGGCAGCTAAGCTTGAATTGTTGGCGGTTTCAGAGTCTGACGAACTTGGGCTCATAACCTGATGAACTTTAGACTTCTTGGTCCGAGTGCAAAACGCAAAGTGAATATATATTTATAATAGGTACTTAGTTCGCAACTTTGAATACTACCTCTAAGCCTATTATTCGCAGTGACGTCATCCAGTGACGTCACCCACTGACGTCACCCACTGACGTCATGCAATAACGTCATCCAGTGACGTCATTTCCTGACTTCGCCCTTACTGGTACATACCGGTACCCACCGGTATAGCGAAGCTTGGTCTTCCACTTGCTTCAACACTTGACGCAGCTTGACGAGGTGTCTTCTTCACAGCCGCTTGTTGAAAAGACAGCGGCTGTGAAGAAGACACCTCGTCAAGCTGCGTCAAGTGTTGAAGCAAGTGGAAGACCAAGCTTCGCTATACCGGTGGGTACCGGTATGTACCAGTAAGGGCGAAGTCAGGAAATGACGTCACTGGATGACGTCACTGCGAATAATAGGCTTAGAGGTAGTATTCAAAGTTGCGAACTAAGTACCTATTATAAATATATATTCACTTTGCGTTTTGCACTCGGACCAAGAAGTCTAAAGTTCATCAGCTTCAAAATCCATTGCAGCCGCTGACACATGCTCAAGCGACGGACCTCTGTATGTTCTTCGCTTGGGACTTGGAATGACGGTAGCTTTCTCAAGTGATTGAGTGCGCGTGTGTCTCTTGATGTTGCTCTTCGAAGACCTGGTGTCTTCGTTGTCATCGTCGCTCGAGTCCATGTCGTCGTCAGTTTTACCTTCTTCTTTTTCTTCGTCCTCATCATGATCATCAAACTCAACGACACTTGACTCATCGTTGTAGTTGCGCGGACCTTCATCAAACTTGTCTTCCATGAATGTGGCATCGCGACTGATCTTGATCGCTCCTGTTGACACTTCCTCAAATCGATATGACTTCTGGTGTTCGGCGTATCCCAGGAAACGACAGAGTGATGACTTGGAGTCGAACTTCGCGCGTTTGTCTTGAGGCACTTGAACATACGCGTGGCATCCAAACACTTTAAGGTTGGCCAGAATCGGTTTCTTCATCGTCCACACTTGATATGGAGACTTGTCTTGGTGAATGGCACGTGTTGGACAGCGGTTTCGAAGAAACATCGCCGTCATCACTGCTTCACCCCAGTAGCTCTTTCCCAGTCCAGCGTGTTCCATCATGCAACGCGCACACTCGACCAGCGTGCGATTCATTCTCTCAGCTACTCCGTTTAGCTGAGGAGTATATGGGGGTGTGAACCTTTGTTGTATTCCCCGTTCCGCGCAGAATCGTGCCAGCTTGTCGGACTTGTATTCACCCCCATTGTCGCTTTGAAGGTACTTCACGCGCTTTCCGGTTTGCGTTTCGGCCATCGCAGCGTATTCTATGAACTTCGCCGCAACTTCAGATTTGCTCTTGAGCAGATAGACGACACAGTATCTTGACTTGTCATCAATGAATGTCACGAAGTACCGTTTTCCACTGAAAGTTGCCATCGACATCGGTCCGCATACGTCGCTGTGAATCACTTCGAGGAGTTTGGAGGTGCGAGCTGTAGTGTTTGATTGGAAGCGCACTCGAGTCTGTTTTCCCAGAGCACAACCTTCACACACGTCCCACTTCTTCACCGAAGATATGTCGATGCCAATTCCAATGTTCTTCGTCACGATGCAATTGAGTCCATCGTGACCTATGTGGCCAAGCCGAAGGTGCCAGAGGTACGACTTGGTGCCCCCTTGACATCCCGACGACTTGGCTGCATTTGCTTGTTCCGGCGCCACTGGAGTCATTTGCAGCAACAGTTCTTTACCTTCACGGGCACCAATTTTCCACTTGGTCCCTTTCGCTTCTCCATAGCACCCATCCTTCGTGAACGTCACTGGGCCGACATCCTTGGTGAAGCGGCCGACCGAGAACAGGTTTCTGGATAACTTTGGGATGTGCCACACGTTTGTGAGCACACCTTTCTTCATCCCTTGGGGTGTCTTCATCGACATGACAATGTCCCCACTGCCGATTGCTTGGACGATTCCGTCATCCGCGAGATGGACATCCACAGCGTCAAACCCCTTGTAGTTCCGCATGAACTTCTTGGAGCACGTCATGTGCTGCGTCGCCCCGGAGTCGACCAGCCAGATGTCGCTCGATTTCGCAGATGTCGTTTCACCGATCGAAAAGAGGTAGTCGCCCGAGTATTCTTCTTGAGCGACGTTTGCACGTTGTGATCGATAGCGGTCGCCGCTGTCTTGAGCACGCTGTGGCCGGTGTCTCTCCGTGTTTTCTTGGATGCGCGAGGGACACTCCGCCATCCAGTGACCAATCTTTCCGCAATTGTGGCACGGCCAGGACTTCTTCACTGGTCGCCCTTTGCGCTGATTGTCCCTTGTGATGAACGCTTGACCTTGCGAAGCTTCATCACCTTTACTTCCTTGCTCCTTCCGCTTCATTTCTTCATGAAGCAGTCGAGACGTCACGAGCTCCCAGCTAAGAGTGTCTGAGCGCGACTCCAAAGCTGTGATCAAGAATTGATACGAGTCACTCAGGCTGCCGAGGAGTGTGATCACCAGATCGTCCTCGCAGACTGGAGCCCCCACCGCTTCTAGCTGTGTTGAAAAGACAGCGGCTGTGAAGAAGACACCTCGTCAAGCTGCGTCAAGTGTTGAAGCAAGTGGAAGACCAAGCTTCGCTATACCAGTGGGTACCGGTATGTACCAGTAAGGGCGAAGTCAGGAAATGACGTCACTGGATGACGTCATTGCATGACGTCAGTGGGTGACGTCACTGCGAATAATAGGCTTAGAGGTAGTATTCAAAGTTGCGAACTAAGTACCTATTATAAATATATATTCACTTTGCGTTTTGCACTCGGACCAAGAAGTCTAAAGTTCATCAGGTTATGAGCCCAAGTTCGTCAGACTCTGAAACCGCCAACAATTCAAGCTTAGCTGCCATGGACGCCTCCTCCCTCCGCATCTCCAAGTTCGATGGAACTAACTTCCACGCCTGGAAGTTCAAGATGCAGATGGTGCTGGAGGAACGGGACCTATGGGAGGTCGTCAGCGGTGAGATCAAGGCGGAACAGTGCGAGACTCAGTTGGACCAAGCGACATACAAGAGGAAGTCAAGAAAGGCGATGGCAGTGATCTGTCTAGCCATGGAAGATTCCCAGCTACCGTTGGTCCGGTCGGCAAGTGGTGCATGCGACGCATGGTCAAGGTTGGAAGACCGCTTCGAGAGGAAGAGTCTTGCCAACAAGCTGTTCTTGCGCCGTCGCTTCTTCACGACAATGATGGAAGAAGGCGACGATGTGCTCGAACACATCAACAAGCTCAAGACGCTGGCGGAACAGCTAGAAGCGGTGGGGGCTCCAGTCTGCGAGGACGATCTGGTGATCACACTCCTCGGCAGCCTGAGTGACTCGTATCAATTCTTGATCACAGCTTTGGAGTCGCGCTCAGACACTCTTAGCTGGGAGCTCGTGACGTCTCGACTGCTTCATGAAGAAATGAAGCGGAAGGAGCAAGGAAGTAAAGGTGATGAAGCTTCGCAAGGTCAAGCGTTCATCACAAGGGACAATCAGCGCAAAGGGCGACCAGTGAAGAAGTCCTGGCCGTGCCACAATTGCGGAAAGATTGGTCACTGGATGGCGGAGTGCCCCTCGCGCATCCAAGAAAACACGGAGAGACACCGGCCACAGCGTGCTCAAGACAGCGGCGACCGCTATAGATCACAACGTGCAAACGTCGCTCAAGAAGAAGACTCGGGCGACTACCTCTTTTCGATCGGTGAAACGACATCTGCGAAATCGAGCGACATCTGGCTGGTCGACTCCGGGGCGACGCAGCACATGACGTGCTCCAAGAAGTTCATGCGGAACTACAAGGGGTTTGACGCTGTGGATGTCCATCTCGCGGATGATGGAATCGTCCAAGCAATCGGCAGTGGGGACATTGTCATGTCGATGAAGACACCCCAAGGGATGAAGAAAGGTGTGCTCACAAACGTGTGGCACATCCCAAAGTTATCCAGAAACCTGTTCTCGGTCGGCCGCTTCACCAAGGATGTCGGCCCAGTGACGTTCACGAAGGATGGGTGCTATGGAGAAGCGAAAGGGACCAAGTGGAAAATTGGTGCCCGTGAAGGTAAAGGACTGTTCAAGCTGCAAATGACTCCAGTGGCGCCGGAACAAGCAAATACAGCCAAGTCGTCGGGATGTCAAGGGGGCACCAAGTCGTACCTCTGGCACCTTCGGCTTGGCCACATAGGTCATGATGGACTCAATTGCATCGTGACGAAGAACATTGGAATTGGCATCGACATATCTTCGGTGAAAGAAGTGGGACGTGTGTGAAGGTTGTGCTCTGGGAAAACAGACTCGAGTGCGCTTCCAATCAAACACTACAGCTCGCACCTCCAAACTCCTCGAAGTGATTCACAGCGACGTATGCGGACCGATGTCGATGGCAACTTTCAGTGGAAAACGGTACTTCGTGACATTCATTGATGACAAGTCAAGATACTGTGTCGTCTATCTGCTCAAGAGCAAATCTGAAGTTGCGGCGAAGTTCATGGAATACGCTGCGATGGCCGAAACGCGCAACCGGAAAGCGCGTGAAGTACCTTCAAAGCGACAATGGGGGTGAATACAAGTCCGACAAGCTGGCACGATTCTGCGCGGAACGGGGAATACAACAAAGGTTCACACCCCCATATACTCCTCAGCTAAACGGAGTAGCTGAGAGAATGAATCGCACGCTGGTCGAGTGTGCGCGTTGCATGATGGAACACGCTGGACTGGGAAAGAGCTACTGGGGTGAAGCAGTGATGACGGCGATGTTTCTTCGAAACCGCTGTCCAACACGTGCCATTCACCAAGACAAGTCTCCATATCAAGTGTGGACGATGAAGAAACCGATTCTGGCCAACCTTAAAGTGTTTGGATGCCACGCGTATGTTCAAGTGCCTCAAGACAAACGCGCGAAGTTCGACTCCAAGTCATCACTCTGTCGTTTCCTGGGATACGCCGAACACCAGAAGTCATATCGATTTGAGGAAGTGTCAACAGGAGCGATCAAGATCAGTCGCGATGCCACATTCATGGAAGACAAGTTTGATGAAGGTCCGCGCAACTACAACGATGAGTCAAGTGTCGTTGAGTTTGATGATCATGATGAGGACGAAGAAAAAGAAGAAGGTAAAACTGACGACGACATGGACTCGAGCGACGATGACAACGAAGACACCAGGTCTTCGAAGAGCAACATCAAGAGACACACGCGCACTCAATCACTTGAGAAAGCTACCTTCATTCCAAGTCCCAAGCGAAGAACGTACAGATGTCCGTCGCTTGAGCATGTGTCAGCGGCTGCAATGGATTTTGAAGCAGCCTACATCGTTGATTCAGTGGGGGAAACGCCGACTACATTCAAGTCGGCGATGGAATCAAGCGACTCCGGCAAGTGGAAAGAAGCGTGTGACTCGGAGTTCGATTCGCTTCAGAGAAACGACACGTGGGAAATCGTGCCTCTTCCGAAAGGTCGCAAGGCCATCGGGTGCCGATGGGTTTTTTCGTGTAAAGGAGAATCAAGATGGCGAAGTTGAACGTTTCAAGGCAAGACTTGTGGCCAAAGGATTCTCACAGAAATTCGGAGTTGACTATGAAGAAACTTTCGCACCGGTGGCCAAGTTCACATCGATTCGTGTGGTGCTCAGTATGGCGGCTAAGTACGGCCTAATGCTACATCAGATGGACGTCAAGACAGCGTTTCTTAACGGCTCCCTCAACGAAGACATCTACATGGACCAGCCGGACGGATACCTGGATGCAACACAGCCGGACTATGTGTGCAAGCTAAAGAGATCACTCTACGGCTTGAAGCAATCGCCTCGCATGTGGAACCAAACAATCGATGGGTTCATGATCAAGATGGGATTCAAGAAGTGCGAATCGGACCACTGCATCTACATCAAGCGAGACGACCAAGACATGATTCTCGTGGTGCTCTACGTCGATGATCTCATCCTGGCCAGCAGCAACAACGAACTCCTCAAGTCGACCAAGATGGCGCTGAGCAAACGCTTCGAAATGACGGATCTCGGTGAGCTCGATTACTTTCTCGGCATGGAGATCAAGAACGACCGTAAGACGGGAATGGTGACTGTGCAACAAACCAAGTTTCTCAAGTCCGTGTTAACCAAGTTCGGAATGGATAACAGCAAGCCAGTGAAGACGCCTCAAGATCCCGGCCTGAAGCTAACCAAGAACATGTGTGAACAAGAATGCAAGCACGAAGACACCATGTGCAACGTGCCATATCGAAGTGCTGTCGGAGGCATCATGTATCTCATGGTCGCCACACGTCCGGATCTAGCTGCTGCAGTGGGATCATTATCCCAGTTCTCGTCCGACCCATGCCCGACTCACTGGCAAGCTTTGAAGCGTGTGCTGAGATACCTGCAAGCAACGCCCAATCATGGTCTTGAGTTTACACGTGCAGAAGGAAGCCGTATCTGCGGGTACACCGACGCAGACTGGGCCGGCGACATTGAGTCAAGACGAAGTACAAGCGGCTATGTGTTCATGATGAGCGGAGGATGCATCAGCTGGAAAAGCCAGAAACAACGGACGGTCGCGCTATCTTCAACAGAAGCAGAATACATGGCGCTTTCCGAAGCAACCAAAGAAGCAGTATGGCTCAAAGTGCTTTTGGGGGAACTTGGTGAGATGACAAGCGACGAAGCGATCAAGATGTATGAAGACGACCAAGGATCAATCGCTCTCGCCAAGAACCCGGAGTTCCATAAGAGAACAAAACACATCGACATACGCTACCATTTTGTGCGTGAGAAGGTGGAATCAGGTGAAGTCGTTTTGGAGTATTGCCCGACTCAAGATATGCTGGCAGACATGATGACCAAGCCTATCGCCGCTGTACAATTTGAAAACATTCGCGATCGACTTGGGATCCAAGGTGCCGCAGCTAACGAGTCGAGAGGGAGTGTTGAAAAGACAGCGGCTGTGAAGAAGACACCTCGTCAAGCTGCGTCAAGTGTTGAAGCAAGTGGAAGACCAAGCTTCGCTATACCAGTGGGTACCGGTATGTACCAGTAAGGGCGAAGTCAGGAAATGACGTCACTGGATGACGTCATTGCATGACGTCAGTGGGTGACGTCACTGCGAATAATAGGCTTAGAGGTAGTATTCAAAGTTGCGAACTAAGTACCTATTATAAATATATATTCACTTTGCGTTTTGCACTCGGACCAAGAAGTCTAAAGTTCATCAAGCTGTTCCGCCAGCGTCTTGAGCTTGTTGATGTGTTCGAGCACATCGTCGCCTTCTTCCATCATTGTCGTGAAGAAGCGACGGCGCAAGAACAGCTTGTTGGCAAGACTCTTCTTCTCGAAGTGGTCTTCCAACCTTGACCATTGTTGAATGATGAAGAGCTTGACGACCGAAACTGGGAGGGATGCTGAGAGTCCACTTGGAAGACCGGAGAAGACACTTGGGGTAGATGGAAGATTGGAAAGTGATTGATTATCGGGGCTTACTACTTACTACATGATTTATATGTGGTGCACATATAAATCATGTGAAGCGTCTCATCATCCTACGCGTCTAATCAACTATGGTAATTACCGTAAGAACTACGTCGTAAATACTAAGCTGAACAGGCGGTTCGGATTGGACCGGTCACGGTTACCAATACTGGTAGAAACCGATGACCGTCAACACGCCCCCTCAATCCGAACTCGCACGAATGCCGAGAGCCGTCGTCAAGTCCTTGTGACGAGGTCCCGAAAGTCCCTTGGTCATGATGTCCGCCATCATCACGGAAGTCTCGCAATACTCGAGCTGCACTTCACCGCGCTTGACCTCATCACGGATGTGATGGTACTTGATGTCGATGTGCTTGGCGCGGCCATGATTCACCGGATTCTTTGTCATCTTGATGCACGACTGGTTGTCTTCACGGATGACGAGGTCCGGTCCTGGTTCGTTTGCGGCCGCCAAAATCTCGCATAGCAGGCGATGCACCCACTTGCCTTCCTGGATGGCCAGACTCAGTGCGATGTATTCCGCTTCACTCATCGACAGCGACACACTTGACTGCTTCTTGCTTCCCCAACTCACAGGAGCACCCATCAGCATGAAAGTGTAACCCGAAGTCGACTTGCGATCAGCGTGGTCGCCGGCCCAGTCCGCGTCCGAGTAGCCACGAAAGTCGATCTTATCGCTTGGCTGGAATCGGAGTCCGTGCGACTTGGTCCCTTGCAAGTAACGAAAGATGCGCTTCACCGCCGTCCAATGTTCTTGCTGCGGATTCTCCATGAAGCGCGAGACGTACCCCACAGCATACGCAATGTCCGGGCGCGTCGCAGTCGTCAAGTGCATCAAAGCTCCCACAGCTTCACGAAACGGAACGTCGATCTTGGCCGCTTCGGTGCTTGCGACAAGCCGAGTGCTCAAGTCGACCGGACTTGATGTGGCCTTGCACTCATCCATGCCGAAGCGCTTGAGGATGTCGTTGACATACCGTCGCTGGCACATCGTCACGCTGCCATCCGATTCGTCCACCAGTTCGATGCCCAGTACAAAAGTACACTTGCCACTGTCGGTCATCTCGAAACGCGTCTTGAGGTCGGCCTTCGTCTGCGCAATCAACTCGAGCGAGCTGCCGGTGACCAACACGTCATCCACGTAGACCAGCACGAGCACACAGTGACCATCGACAACCTTGATGTAGAGACATGGGTCGAACGCCGACGCTTCGAAACCGATAGAGCATACGAACTCATCGAAAGTCTCGTTCCACACACGTGAAGCTTGCTTGAGACCGTAGATCGCCTTCACCAACTCGAGACAGTCGAAGTCGCCATCCATCTCGACGCCTTCTGGTACCACGCAGTACACCTTCTCCTTCATCACTCCGTAGAGAAAGGCTGTCACCACATCGAGTTGGTCCAGTGGCCAGTCGAAATACTTGGTGATCGCGATCACCATACGCAGTGTCACGTACTTGACCACGGGCGAGAACGTCTCTGTGTAGTCGATGCCGTACTTCTGCTTGAAGCCCTTGGCAACGAGACGCGCCTTGTATTTCTCGACCGATCCATCCGCTTTGCGCTTGATCTTGAACACCCACTTGGTGCCGATCGCGCCTTGGCCTCTTGGTAGTTTTGCCGCACGGAAAACTCCACGAAGATGCATCGACTTGAGTTCCGCCTTCACAGCATTTCGCCAGTGAGCTTGATCAGGACCATTGATCGCGTCTTGAAAAGTCACAGGTTCTGCTAGGTCCGTTGCTTCCACTGCGTTTGCACTTGCACGCCAAAATGTTGGAGGCGTCAAGTCGTCATCTTGATCGTAGACGCTTGCATCTTCTTCGTCATCAGACATCGTTTCTGGAGCACTTGATCGTCGTTTCTGGTGACGGTTGGAGACGTGTGCCGGTGCACTTGCTTGTTCCAATCCAGTTCGAGGGCGAGCTGAACGTGACATGCCGGGTCTTGCTTCACTCTTGCGCTTGCCAGTCTGCTTGTAGACAGTTTGACGCACGTCGTCCTCGTTGATCGCCAGGAGGTCGAGATCCAACTCCGCATCTTCATCATCGTCACTTGGTCGGTCCATCGAAAAATCAAAAGTCGATTCGTCGAAGGTGATGTCACGACTGATCACCACTTGGCCCGCCTCAATGTCGTACACTCGATAAGCTTTTGACACTTCTTCGTAGCCCATGAACATCCCTTCACGAGCCTTCGGGTCCCACTTCAATCGCTTCTCCCTTGGTGTCAGGATAAACGCCCGACATCCAAACACGCGCATGTGCTTGACACTTGGTTTCGACTTGTACACGATCTCGAACGGAGTCTTGTGGTCGATCTTGGGTGAAGGCAGGCGGTTCTTGATGTAGATCGCCGTCATTGCCGCTTCAGCCCAGAAACACTTCTCCAGCTTTGCATGATGCAACAAGCTGCGTCCGATCGTGAGGATGGTCCTTATCGCGCGTTCTGCGGTGCCGTTGGTCTGGTGTGCATACGGCACCGTGATCTGTTGTTCGATACCATGATCTTCGTAGAAGGTCTTGATCGAGTTGGTCGCAAATTCATGCGCTCCATCGTGCCGAACAAACTTGATCTTCGTGCCGAACTGTGTTTGAATCTTGATGATGTGGTTCTTGATACAGTCTTCACTCTCAGACTTGGACCGCAGACAGAAGCCCTTCATGCAACCGCTAGCTTCGTCAACCACAAGCAGTAAGTATTTGCTGCCGCCGATCGAGACTTGTTCCATTGGCCCGCAGATGTCGAAGTGCAGCAACTCGAACATACCATATTGGCGTTTGTCACGGTTGGTTGGGAATGGTTTTTAGACCATCTTTCCTTGCTGGCAACCGCGACACACACTTGGACCAGTCGAGTTGAGAGGTGCCTTGGCGTCCTTGATCATGCCAGTGGCCACCATCTTGCGCAGAACTTCGAGAGGTGCATGACCCATGCGCGCATGCAAGTCGATGTTCCCATTGCGTGTTGCTGCATTTGCCGATCGTTGAGGAGTCCGCAGCCAGTAAAGTCCATCGACGAGATCCGCTGTTGCCACGACTTGTGTGGAATTCTTGCGCTTCACTTGCATCTTGGATCCATCGAACACGACTTGGAACCTCCCACCCTTGTTGATCTGTGGCACCGAAAGCAGATTCTTGCTCATGCTTGGTACGAACAGCGCGTCCTTGATCTCGATGTCGCGTTCGTCACCATTGGGCAGAACCACCCGTTCCATGATGGTTCCCACACCCTTGATCGCAGCCTTGCTGCCATCAGCCACTGATAGTTCGCCTTCCTCTCGCTCATTCAGGCTTGCAAACTTGGCCTTGTCGTTGCAGATGTGATGCGTCGCACCGCTGTCGACTGCCCACATCCCTGGCATATTCTTGCCCGTCGAAAGTCCGGCCTCCAGCGAAACCGCGAACGCAACTCGATCGCAGTTGTCGTCGTTGTTGCTGTTGGTTCGCCACTGAACGTTGTTGGCTCCGCGTCCACGAGCATTGTTGCCGCCGCGTCGAGCTCCACCTTGATTCTCGTCCTTCTGCTTGGTCCAGCACCGCTCCGCCGTGTGCCCCAATTTTCCGCAGTATGTACACTGGCGAGGTTCACGCTCGGTACTGAACGCCTTGGCCGCGTCTTCAGTCTTCACCGATGTCGTCTTGTCACCTTGCCTCTTGATGTGCTCATTCGTGAGCACTCTCACGACGTCTCGCGATCGCAGTTCCGCGCTGCTCATCTCCAAGTTGAGAACGACGTTCTCGTAGCTCTTGGGGAGGCTGCGCAACAAGCAGATCGCAACGTCCTCGTCCTCCATCTCGGCGCCGATGCTGCTGAGCTTCGCGCTGATGTTGAGGACTTCGTTGCAATGATGCATCACATTGCCGCCTTCCGCCATCTCCATGCTGAACAGCTGGCGCTTCAAGTAGATGCGTCCAGCCTTCTGCGACCCGCCGTACAGCGTCTTCAAACGCGCCCACGCGACCCACGCCTCTTCACAGTCATCAACCACGTGATGATAATCTGCGCTCATGTGCAGCAGCATCAAGCCGAACGCAATGTTGTTTGTCTTGACGTAGTCGTCACTGGCGCGAGGATCGGCGAAGGTGGGGGGTGGTCTCCCGGTTCACCACGTGCCACGCCGACTTGGTCAGGAACACGCCACGCATGTAGCGGCTCCACGTCGCGTAGTTGTCGCCGTCGAACTTGTCGATGGAGATCTTGGTGGTGGCATCATGGGCAGAGGACATCGTGCTTGGGCTCATAACCTGTTGAATGATGAAGAGCTTGACGACCGAAACTGGGAGGGATGCTGAGAGTCCACTTGGAAGACCGGAGAAGACACTTGGGGTAGATGGAAGATTGGAAAGTGATTGATTATCGGGGCTTACTACTTACTACATGATTTATATGTGGTGCACATATAAATCATGTGAAGCGTCTCATCATCCTACGCGTCTAATCAACTATGGTAATTACCGTAAGAACTACGTCGTAAATACTAAGCTGAACAGGCGGTTCGGATTGGACCGGTCACGGTTACCAATACTGGTAGAAACCGATGACCGTCAACAACCATGCGTCGCATGCACCACTTGCCGACCGGACCAACGGTAGCTGGGAATCTTCCATGGCTAGACAGATCACTGCCATCGCCTTTCTTGACTTCCTCTTGTACGTCGCTTGGTCCAACTGAGTCTCGCACTGTTCCGCCTTGATCTCACCGCTGACGACCTCCCATAGGTCCCGTTCCTCCAGCACCATCTGCATCTTGAACTTCCAGGCGTGGAAGTTAGTTCCATCGAACTTGGAGATGCAGAGGGAGGAGGCGTCCATGGCAGCTAAGCTTGAATTGTTGGCGGTTTCAGAGTCTGACGAACTTGGGCTCATAACCTGATGAACTTTAGACTTCTTGGTCCGAGTGCAAAACGCAAAGTGAATATATATTTATAATAGGTACTTAGTTCGCAACTTTGAATACTACCTCTAAGCCTATTATTCGCAGTGACGTCATCCAGTGACGTCACCCACTGACGTCACCCACTGACGTCATGCAATGACGTCATCCAGTGACGTCATTTCCTGACTTCGCCCTTACTGGTACATACCGGTACCCACCGGTATAGCGAAGCTTGGTCTTCCACTTGCTTCAACACTTGACGCAGCTTGACGAGGTGTCTTCTTCACAGCCGCTGTCTTTTCAACACGGGCGACTACCTCTTTTCGATCGGTGAAACGACATCTGCGAAATCGAGCGACATCTGGCTGGTCGACTCCGGGGCGACGCAGCACATGACGTGCTCCAAGAAGTTCATGCGGAACTACAAGGGGTTTGACGCTGTGGATGTCCATCTCGCGGATGATGGAATCGTCCAAGCAATCGGCAGTGGGGACATTGTCATGTCGATGAAGACACCCCAAGGGATGAAGAAAGGTGTGCTCACAAACGTGTGGCACATCCCAAAGTTATCCAGAAACCTGTTCTCGGTCGGCCGCTTCACCAAGGATGTCGGCCCAGTGACGTTCACGAAGGATGGGTGCTATGGAGAAGCGAAAGGGACCAAGTGGAAAATTGGTGCCCGTGAAGGTAAAGGACTGTTCAAGCTGCAAATGACTCCAGTGGCGCCGGAACAAGCAAATGCAGCCAAGTCGTCGGGATGTCAAGGGGGCACCAAGTCGTACCTCTGGCACCTTCGGCTTGGCCACATAGGTCACGATGGACTCAATTGCATCGTGACGAAGAACATTGGAATTGGCATCGACATATCTTCGGTGAAGAAGTGGGACGTGTGTGAAGGTTGTGCTCTGGGAAAACAGACTCGAGTGCGCTTCCAATCAAACACTACAGCTCGCACCTCCAAACTCCTCGAAGTGATTCACAGCGACGTATGCGGACCGATGTCGATGGCAACTTTCAGTGGAAAACGGTACTTCGTGACATTCATTGATGACAAGTCAAGATACTGTGTCGTCTATCTGCTCAAGAGCAAATCTGAAGTTGCGGCGAAGTTCATGGAATACGCTGCGATGGCCGAAACGCAAACCGGAAAGCGCGTGAAGTACCTTCAAAGCGACAATGGGGGTGAATACAAGTCCGACAAGCTGGCACGATTCTGCGCGGAACGGGGAATACAACAAAGGTTCACAACCCCATATACTCCTCAGCTAAACGGAGTAGCTGAGAGAATGAATCGCACGCTGGTCGAGTGTGCGCGTTGCATGATGGAACACGCTGGACTGGGAAAGAGCTACTGGGGTGAAGCAGTGATGACGGCGATGTTTCTTCGAAACCGCTGTCCAACACGTGCCATTCACCAAGACAAGTCTCCATATCAAGTGTGGACGATGAAGAAACCGATTCTGGCCAACCTTAAAGTGTTTGGATGCCACGCGTATGTTCAAGTGCCTCAAGACAAACGCGCGAAGTTCGACTCCAAGTTATCACTCTGTCGTTTCCTGGGATACGCCGAACACCAGAAGTCATATCGATTTGAGGAAGTGTCAACAGGAGCGATCAAGATCAGTCGCGATGCCACATTCATGGAAGACAAGTTTGATGAAGGTCCGCGCAACTACAACGATGAGTCAAGTGTCGTTGAGTTTGATGATCATGATGAGGACGAAGAAAAAGAAGAAGGTAAAACTGACGACGACATGGACTCGAGCGACGATGACAACGAAGACACCAGGTCTTCGAAGAGCAACATCAAGAGACACACGCGCACTCAATCACTTGAGAAAGCTACCGTCATTCAAGTCCCAAGCGAAGAACATACAGAGGTCCGTCGCTTGAGCATGTGTCAGCGGCTGCAATGGATTTTGAAGCAGCCTACATCGTTGATTCAGTGGGGGAAACGCCGACTACATTCAAGTCGGCGATGGAATCAAGCGACTCCGGCAAGTGGAAAGAAGCGTGTGACTCGGAGTTCGATTCGCTTCAGAGAAACGACACGTGGGAAATCGTGCCTCTTCCGAAAGGTCGCAAGGCCATCGGGTGCCGATGGGTTTTTCGTGTAAAGGAGAATCAAGATGGCGAAGTTGAACGTTTCAAGGCAAGACTTGTGGCCAAAGGATTCTCACAGAAATTCGGAGTTGACTATGAAGAAACTTTCGCACCGGTGGCCAAGTTCACATCGATTCGTGTGGTGCTCAGTATGGCGGCTAAGTACGGCCTAATGCTACATCAGATGGACGTCAAGACAGCGTTTCTTAACGGCTCCCTCAACGAAGACATCTACATGGACCAGCCGGACGGATACCTGGATGCAACACAGCCGGACTATGTGTGCAAGCTAAAGAGATCACTCTACGGCTTGAAGCAATCGCCTCGCATGTGGAACCAAACAATCGATGGGTTCATGATCAAGATGGGATTCAAGAAGTGCGAATCGGACCACTGCATCTACATCAAGCGAGACGACCAAGACATGATTCTCGTGGTGCTCTACGTCGATGATCTCATCCTGGCCAGCAGCAACAACGAACTCCTCAAGTCGACCAAGATGGCGCTGAGCAAACGCTTCGAAATGACGGATCTCGGTGAGCTCGATTACTTTCTCGGCATGGAGATCAAGAACGACCGTAAGACGGGAATGGTGACTGTACAACAAACCAAGTTTCTCAAGTCCGTGTTAACCAAGTTCGGAATGGATAACAGCAAGCCAGTGAAGACGCCTCAAGATCCCGGCCTGAAGCTAACCAAGAACATGTGTGAACAAGAATGCAAGCACGAAGACACCATGTGCAACGTGCCATATCGAAGTGCTGTCGGAGGCATCATGTATCTCATGGTCGCCACACGTCCGGATCTAGCTGCTGCAGTGGGATCATTATCCCAGTTCTCGTCCGACCCATGCCCGACTCACTGGCAAGCTTTGAAGCGTGTGCTGAGATACCTGCAAGCAACGCCCAATCATGGTCTTGAGTTTACACGTGAAGAAGGAAGCCGTATCTGCGGGTACACCGACGCAGACTGGGCCGGCGACATTGAGTCAAGACGAAGTACAAGCGGCTATGTGTTCATGATGAGCGGAGGATGCATCAGCTGGAAAAGCCAGAAACAACGGACGGTCGCGCTATCTTCAACAGAAGCAGAATACATGGCGCTTTCCGAAGCAACCAAAGAAGCAGTATGGCTCAAAGTGCTTTTGGGGGAACTTGGTGAGATGACAAGCGACGAAGCGATCAAGATGTATGAAGACAACCAAGGATCAATCGCTCTCGCCAAGAACCCGGAGTTCCATAAGAGAACAAAACACATCGACATACGCTACCATTTTGTGCGTGAGAAGGTGGAATCAGGTGAAGTCGTTTTGGAGTATTGCCCGACTCAAGATATGCTGGCAGACATGATGACCAAGCCGATCGCCGCTGTACAATTTGAAAACATTCGCGATCGACTTGGGATCCAAGGTGCCGCAGCTAACGAGTCGAGAGGGAGTGTTGAAAAGACAGCGGCTGTGTAGAAGACACCTCGTCAAGCTGCGTCAAGTGTTGAAGCAAGTGGAAGACCAAGCTTCGCTATACCGGTGGGTACCGGTATGTACCAGTAAGGGCGAAGTCAGGAAATGACGTCACTGGATGACGTCATTGCATGACGTCAGTGATGAACTTTAGACTTCTTGGTCCGAGTGCAAAACGCAAAGTGAATATATATTTATAATAGGTACTTAGTTCGCAACTTTGAATACTACCTCTAAGCCTATTATTCGCAGTGACGTCATCCAGTGACGTCACCCACTGACGTCACCCACTGACGTCATGCAATGACGTCATCCAGTGACGTCATTTCCTGACTTCGCCCTTGTTGAAAAGACAGCGGCTGTGAAGAAGACACCTCGTCAAGCTGCGTCAAGTGTTGAAGCAAGTGGAAGACCAAGCTTCGCTATACCGGTGGGTACCGGTATGTACCAGTAAGGGCGAAGTCAGGAAATGACGTCACTGGATGACGTCATTGCATGACGTCACTGGATGACGTCACTGCGAATAATAGGCTTAGAGGTAGTATTCAAAGTTGCGAACTAAGTACCTATTATAAATATATATTCACTTTGCGTTTTGCACTCGGACCAAGAAGTCTAAAGTTCATCAGGTTATGAGCCCAAGTTCGTCAGACTCTGAAACCGCCAACAATTCAAGCTTAGCTGCCATGGACGCCTCCTCCCTCCGCATCTCCAAGTTCGATGGAACTAACTTCCACGCCTGGAAGTTCAAGATGCAGATGGTGCTGGAGGAACGGGACCTATGGGAGGTCGTCAGCGGTGAGATCAAGGCGGAACAGTGCGAGACTCAGTTGGACCAAGCGACGTACAAGAGGAAGTCAAGAAAGGCGATGGCAGTGATCTGTCTAGCCATGGAAGATTCCCAGCTACCGTTGGTCCGGTCGGCAAGTGGTGCATGCGACGCATGGTCAAGGTTGGAAGACCACTTCGAGAAGAAGAGTCTTGCCAACAAGCTGTTCTTGCGCCGTCGCTTCTTCACGACAATGATGGAAGAAGGCGACGATGTGCTCGAACACATCAACAAGCTCAAGACGCTGGCGGAACAGCTAGAAGCGGTGGGGGCTCCAGTCTGCGAGGACGATCTGGTGATCACACTCCTCGGCAGCCTGAGTGACTCGTATCAATTCTTGATCACAGCTTTGGAGTCGCGCTCAGACACTCTTAGCTGGGAGCTCGTGACGTCTCGACTGCTTCATGAAGAAATGAAGCGGAAGGAGCAAGGAAGTAAAGGTGATGAAGCTTCGCAAGGTCAAGCGTTCATCACAAGGGACAATCAGCGCAAAGGGCGACCAGTGAAGAAGTCCTGGCCGTGCCACAATTGCGGAAAGATTGGTCACTGGATGGCGGAGTGCCCCTCGCGCATCCAAGAAAACACGGAGAGACACCGGCCACAGCGTGCTCAAGACAGCGGCGACCGCTATCGATCACAACGTGCAAACGTCGCTCAAGAAGAAGACTCGGGCGACTACCTCTTTTCGATCGGTGAAACGACATCTGCGAAATCGAGCGACATCTGGCTGGTCGACTCCGGGGCGACGCAGCACATGACGTGCTCCAAGAAGTTCATGCGGAACTACAAGGGGTTTGACGCTGTGGATGTCCATCTCGCGGATGATGGAATCGTCCAAGCAATCGGCAGTGGGGACATTGTCATGTCGATGAAGACACCCCAAGGGATGAAGAAAGGTGTGCTCACAAACGTGTGGCACATCCCAAAGTTATCCAGAAACCTGTTCTCGGTCGGCCGCTTCACCAAGGATGTCGGCCCAGTGACGTTCACGAAGGATGGGTGCTATGGAGAAGCGAAAGGGACCAAGTGGAAAATTGGTGCCCGTGAAGGTAAAGGACTGTTCAAGCTGCAAATGACTCCAGTGGCGCCGGAACAAGCAAATGCAGCCAAGTCGTCGGGATGTCAAGGGGGCACCAAGTCGTACCTCTGGCACCTTCGGCTTGGCCACATAGGTCACGATGGACTCAATTGCATCGTGACGAAGAACATTGGAATTGGCATCGACATATCTTCGGTGAAGAAGTGGGACGTGTGTGAAGGTTGTGCTCTGGGAAAACAGACTCGAGTGCGCTTCCAATCAAACACTACAGCTCGCACCTCCAAACTCCTCGAAGTGATTCACAGCGACGTATGCGGACCGATGTCGATGGCAACTTTCAGTGGAAAACGGTACTTCGTGACATTCATCGATGACAAGTCAAGATACTGTGTCGTCTATCTGCTCAAGAGCAAATCTGAAGTTGCGGCGAAGTTCATGGAATACGCTGCGATGGCCGAAACGCAAACCGGAAAGCGCGTGAAGTACCTTCAAAGCGACAATGGGGGTGAATACAAGTCCGACAAGCTGGCACGATTCTGCGCGGAACGGGGAATACAACAAAGGTTCACACCCCCATATACTCCTCAGCTAAACGGAGTAGCTGAGAGAATGAATCGCACGCTGGTCGAGTGTGCGCGTTGCATGATGGAACACGCTGGACTGGGAAAGAGCTACTGGGGTGAAGCAGTGATGACGGCGATGTTTCTTCGAAACCGCTGTCCAACACGTGCCATTCACCAAGACAAGTCTCCATATCAAGTGTGGACGATGAAGAAACCGATTCTGGCCAACCTTAAAGTGTTTGGATGCCACGCGTATGTTCAAGTGCCTCAAGACAAACGCGCAAAGTTCGACTCCAAGTCATCACTCTGTCGTTTCCTGGGATACGCCGAACACCAGAAGTCATATCGATTTGAGGAAGTGTCAACAGGAGCGATCAAGATCAGTCGCGATGCCACATTCATGGAAGACAAGTTTGATGAAGGTCCGCGCAACTACAACGATGAGTCAAGTGTCGTTGAGTTTGATGATCATGATGAGGACGAAGAAAAAGAAGAAGGTAAAACTGACGACGACATGGACTCGAGCGACGATGACAACGAAGACACCAGGTCTTCGAAGAGCAACATCAAGAGACACACGCGCACTCAATCACTTGAGAAAGCTACCGTCATTCCAAGTCCCAAGCGAAGAACATACAGAGGTCCGTCGCTTGAGCATGTGTCAGCGGCTGCAATGGATTTTGAAGCAGCCTACATCGTTGATTCAGTGGGGGAAACGCCGACTACATTCAAGTCGGCGATGGAATCAAGCGACTTCGGCAAGTGGAAAGAAGCGTGTGACTCGGAGTTCGACTCGCTTCAGAGAAACGACACGTGGGATATTGTGCCTCTTCCGAAAGGTCGCAAGGCCATCGGGTGCCGATGGGTTTTTCGTGTGAAGGAGAATCAAGATGGCGAAGTTGAACGTTTCAAGGCAAGACTTGTGGCCAAAGGATTCTCACAGAAATTCGGAGTTGACTATGAAGAAACTTTCGCACCGGTGGCCAAGTTCACATCGATTCGTGTGGTGCTCAGTATGGCGGCTAAGTACGGCCTAATGCTACATCAGATGGACGTCAAGACAGCGTTTCTTAACGGCTCCCTCAACGAAGACATCTACATGGACCAGCCGGACGGATACCTGGATGCAACACAGCCGGACTATGTGTGCAAGCTAAAGAGATCACTCTACGGCTTGAAGCAATCGCCTCGCATGTGGAACCAAACAATCGATGGGTTCATGATCAAGATGGGATTCAAGAAGTGCGAATCGGACCACTGCATCTACATCAAGCGAGACGACCAAGACATGATTCTCGTGGTGCTCTACGTCGATGATCTCATCCTGGCCAGCAGCAACAACGAACTCCTCAAGTCAACCAAGATGGCGCTGAGCAAACGCTTCGAAATGACGGATCTCGGTGAGCTCGATTACTTTCTCGGCATGGAGATCAAGAACGACCGTAAGACGGGAATGGTGACTGTACAACAAACCAAGTTTCTCAAGTCCGTGTTAACCAAGTTCGGAATGGATAACAGCAAGCCAGTGAAGACGCCTCAAGATCCCGGCCTGAAGCTAACCAAGAACATGTGTGAACAAGAATGCAAGCACGAAGACACCATGTGCAACGTGCCATATCGAAGTGCTGTCGGAGGCATCATGTATCTCATGGTCGCCACACGTCCGGATCTAGCTGCTGCAGTGGGATCATTATCCCAGTTCTCGTCCGACCCATGCCCGACTCACTGGCAAGCTTTGAAGCGTGTGCTGAGATACCTGCAAGCAACGCCCAATCATGGTCTTGAGTTTACACGTGAAGAAGGAAGCCGTATCTGCGGGTACACCGACGCAGACTGGGCCGGCGACATTGAGTCAAGGCGAAGTACAAGCGGCTATGTGTTCATGATGAGCGGAGGATGCATCAGCTGGAAAAGCCAGAAACAACGGACGGTCGCGCTATCTTCAACAGAAGCAGAATACATGGCGCTTTCCGAAGCAACCAAAGAAGCAGTATGGCTCAAGGTGCTTTTGGGGGAACTTGGTGAGATGACTGTTGAAAAGACAGCGGCTGTGAAGAAGACACCTCGTCAAGCTGCGTCAAGTGTTGAAGCAAGTGGAAGACCAAGCTTCGCTATACCGGTGGGTACCGGTATGTACCAGTAAGGGCGAAGTCAGGAAATGACGTCACTGGATGACGTCATTGCATGACGTCAGTGGGTGACGTCAGTGGGTGACGTCACTGGATGACGTCACTGCGAATAATAGGCTTAGAGGTAGTATTCAAAGTTGCGAACTAAGTACCTATTATAAATATATATTCACTTTGCGTTTTGCACTCGGACCAAGAAGTCTAAAGTTCATCAGGTTATGAGCCCAAGTTCGTCAGACTCTGAAACCGCCAACAATTCAAGCTTAGCTGCCATGGACGCCTCCTCCCTCCGCATCTCCAAGTTCGATGGAACTAACTTCCACGCCTGGAAGTTCAAGATGCAGATGGTGCTGGAGGAACGGGACCTATGGGAGGTCGTCAGCGGTGAGATCAAGGCGGAACAGTGCGAGACTCAGTTGGACCAAGCGACGTACAAGAGGAAGTCAAGAAAGGCGATGGCAGTGATCTGTCTAGCCATGGAAGATTCCCAGCTACCGTTGGTCCGGTCGGCAAGTGGTGCATGCGACGCATGGTCAAGGTTGGAAGACCACTTCGAGAAGAAGAGTCTTGCCAACAAGCTGTTCTTGCGCCGTCGCTTCTTCACGACAATGATGGAAGAAGGCGACGATGTGCTCGAACACATCAACAAGCTCAAGACGCTGGCGGAACAGCTAGAAGCGGTGGGGGCTCCAGTCTGCGAGGACGATCTGGTGATCACACTCCTCGGCAGCCTGAGTGACTCGTATCAATTCTTGATCACAGCTTTGGAGTCGCGCTCAGACACTCTTAGCTGGGAGCTCGTGACGTCTCGACTGCTTCATGAAGAAATGAAGCGGAAGGAGCAAGGAAGTAAAGGTGATGAAGCTTCGCAAGGTCAAGCGTTCATCACAAGGGACAATCAGCGCAAAGGGCGACCAGTGAAGAAGTCCTGGCCGTGCCACAATTGCGGAAAGATTGGTCATTGGATGGCGGAGTGCCCCTCGCGCATCCAAGAAAACACGGAGAGACACCGGCCACAGCGTGCTCAAGACAGCGGCGACCGCTATCGATCACAACGTGCAAACGTCGCTCAAGAAGAAGACTCGGGCGACTACCTCTTTTCGATCGGTGAAACGACATCTGCGAAATCGAGCGACATCTGGCTGGTCGACTCCGGGGCGACGCAGCACATGACGTGCTCCAAGAAGTTCATGCGGAACTACAAGGGGTTTGACGCTGTGGATGTCCATCTCGCGGATGATGGAATCGTCCAAGCAATCGGCAGTGGGGACATTGTCATGTCGATGAAGACACCCCAAGGGATGAAGAAAGGTGTGCTCACAAACGTGTGGCACATCCCAAAGTTATCCAGAAACCTGTTCTCGGTCGGCCGCTTCACCAAGGATGTCGGCCCAGTGACGTTCACGAAGGATGGGTGCTATGGAGAAGCGAAAGGGACCAAGTGGAAAATTGGTGCCCGTGAAGGTAAAGGACTGTTCAAGCTGCAAATGACTCCAGTGGCGCCGGAACAAGCAAATGCAGCCAAGTCGTCGGGATGTCAAGGGGGCACCAAGTCGTACCTCTGGCACCTTCGGCTTGGCCACATAGGTCACGATGGACTCAATTGCATCGTGACGAAGAACATTGGAATTGGCATCGACATATCTTCGGTGAAGAAGTGGGACGTGTGTGAAGGTTGTGCTCTGGGAAAACAGACTCGAGTGCGCTTCCAATCAAACACTACAGCTCGCACCTCCAAACTCCTCGAAGTGATTCACAGCGACGTATGCGGACCGATGTCGATGGCAACTTTCAGTGGAAAACGGTACTTCGTGACATTCATTGATGACAAGTCAAGATACTGTGTCGTCTATCTGCTCAAGAGCAAATCTGAAGTTGCGGCGAAGTTCATGGAATACGCTGCGATGGCCGAAACGCAAACCGGAAAGCGCGTGAAGTACCTTCAAAGCGACAATGGGGGTGAATACAAGTCCGACAAGCTGGCACGATTCTGCGCGGAACGGGGAATACAACAAAGGTTCACACCCCCATATACTCCTCAGCTAAACGGAGTAGCTGAGAGAATGAATCGCACGCTGGTCGAGTGTGCGCGTTGCATGATGGAACACGCTGGACTGGGAAAGAGCTACTGGGGTGAAGCAGTGATGACGGCGATGTTTCTTCGAAACCGCTGTCCAACACGTGCCATTCACCAAGACAAGTCTCCATATCAAGTGTGGACGATGAAGAAACCGATTCTGGCCAACCTTAAAGTGTTTGGATGCCACGCGTATGTTCAAGTGCCTCAAGACAAACGCGCGAAGTTCGACTCCAAGTCATCACTCTGTCGTTTCCTGGGATACGCCGAACACCAGAAGTCATATCGATTTGAGGAAGTGTCAACAGGAGCGATCAAGATCAGTCGCGATGCCACATTCATGGAAGACAAGTTTGATGAAGGTCCGCGCAACTACAACGATGAGTCAAGTGTCGTTGAGTTTGATGATCATGATGAGGACGAAGAAAAAGAAGAAGGTAAAACTGACGACGACATGGACTCGAGCGACGATGACAACGAAGACACCAGGTCTTCGAAGAGCAACATCAAGAGACACACGCGCACTCAATCACTTGAGAAAGCTACCGTCATTCCAAGTCCCAAGCGAAGAACATACAGAGGTCCGTCGCTTGAGCATGTGTCAGCGGCTGCAATGGATTTTGAAGCAGCCTACATCGTTGATTCAGTGGGGGGAAACGCCGACTACATTCAAGTCGGCGATGGAATCAAGCGACTCCGGCAAGTGGAAAGAAGCGTGTGACTCGGAGTTCGACTCGCTTCAGAGAAACGACACGTGGGAAATCGTGCCTCTTCCGAAGGTCGCAAGGCCATCGGGTGCCGATGGGTTTTTCGTGTAAAGGAGAATCAAGATGGCGAAGTTGAACGTTTCAAGGCAAGACTTGTGGCCAAAGGATTCTCACAGAAATTCGGAGTTGACTATGAAGAAACTTTCGCACCGGTGGCCAAGTTCACATCGATTCGTGTGGTGCTCAGTATGGCGGCTAAGTACGGCCTAATGCTACATCAGATGGACGTCAAGACAGCGTTTCTTAACGGCTCCCTCAACGAAGACATCTACATGGACCAGCCGGACGGATACCTGGATGCAACACAGCCGGACTATGTGTGCAAGCTAAAGAGATCACTCTACGGCTTGAAGCAATCGCCTCGCATGTGGAACCAAACAATCGATGGGTTCATGATCAAGATGGGATTCAAGAAGTGCGAATCGGACCACTGCATCTACATCAAGCGAGACGACCAAGACATGATTCTCGTGGTACTCTACGTCGATGATCTCATCCTGGCCAGCAGCAACAACGAACTCCTCAAGTCAACCAAGATGGCGCTGAGCAAACGCTTCGAAATGACGGATCTCGGTGAGCTCGATTACTTTCTCGGCATGGAGATCAAGAACGACCGTAAGACGGGAATGGTGACTGTACAACAAACCAAGTTCCTCAAGTCCGTGTTAACCAAGTTCGGAATGGATAACAGCAAGCCAGTGAAGACGCCTCAAGATCCCGGCCTGAAGCTAACCAAGAACATGTGTGAACAAGAATGCAAGCACGAAGACACCATGTGCAACGTGCCATATCGAAGTGCTGTCGGAGGCATCATGTATCTCATGGTCGCCACACGTCCGGATCTAGCTGCTGCAGTGGGATCATTATCCCAGTTCTCGTCCGACCCATGCCCGACTCACTGGCAAGCTTTGAAGCGTGTGCTGAGATACCTGCAAGCAACGCCCAATCATGGTCTTGAGTTTACACGTGAAGAAGGAAGCCGTATCTGCGGGTACACCGACGCAGACTGGGCCGGCGACATTGAGTCAAGACGAAGTACAAGCGGCTATGTGTTCATGATGAGCGGAGGATGCATCAGCTGGAAAAGCCAGAAACAACGGACGGTCGCGCTATCTTCAACAGAAGCAGAATACATGGCGCTTTCCGAAGCAACCAAAGAAGCAGTATGGCTCAAGGTGCTTTTGGGGGAACTTGGTGAGATGACAAGCGACGAAGCGATCAAGATGTATGAAGACAACCAAGGATCAATCGCTCTCGCCAAGAACCCGGAGTTCCATAAGAGAACAAAACACATCGACATACGCTACCATTTTGTGCGTGAGAAGGTGGAATCAGGTGAAGTCGTTTTGGAGTATTGCCCGACTCAAGATATGCTGGCAGACATGATGACCAAGCCGATCGCCGCTGTACAATTTGAAAACATTCGCGATCGACTTGGGATCCAAGGTGCCGCAGCTAACGAGTCGAGAGGGAGTGTTGAAAAGACAGCGGCTGTGAAGAAGACACCTCGTCAAGCTGCGTCAAGTGTTGAAGCAAGTGGAAGACCAAGCTTCGCTATACCGGTGGGTACCGGTATGTACCAGTAAGGGCGAAGTCAGGAAATGACGTCACTGGATGACGTCATTGCATGACGTCACTGGATGACGTCACTGCGAATAATAGGCTTAGAGGTAGTATTCAAAGTTGCGAACTAAGTACCTATTATAAATATATATTCACTTTGCGTTTTGCACTCGGACCAAGAAGTCTAAAGTTCATCACACTTGACGCAGCTTGACGAGGTGTCTTCTTTACAGCCGCTGTCTTTTCAACACTCCCTCTCGACTCGTTAGCTGCGGCACCTTGGATCCCAAGTCGATCGCGAATGTTTTCAAATTGTACAGCGGCGATCGGCTTGGTCATCATGTCTGCCAGCATATCTTGAGTCGGGCAATACTCCAAAACGACTTCACCTGATTCCACCTTCTCACGCACAAAATGGTAGCGTATGTCGATGTGTTTTGTTCTCTTATGGAACTCCGGGTTCTTGGCGAGAGCGATTGATCCTTGGTTGTCTTCATACATCTTGATCGCTTCGTCGCTTGTCATCTCACCAAGTTCCCCCAAAAGCACTTTGAGCCATACTGCTTCTTTGGTTGCTTCGGAAAGCGCCATGTATTCTGCTTCTGTTGAAGATAGCGCGACCGTCCGTTGTTTCTGGCTTTTCCAGCTGATGCATCCTCCGCTCATCATGAACACATAGCCGCTTGTACTTCGTCTTGACTCAATGTCGCCGGCCCAGTCTGCGTCGGTGTACCCGCAGATACGGCTTCCTTCTTCACGTGTAAACTCAAGACCATGATTGGGCGTTCTTGCAGGTATCTCAGCACACGCTTCAAAGCTTGCCAGTGAGTCGGGCATGGGTCGGACGAGAACTGGGATAATGATCCCACTGCAGCAGCTAGATCCGGACGTGTGGCGACCATGAGATACATGATGCCTCCGACAGCACTTCGATATGGCACGTTGCACATGGTGTCTTCGTGCTTGCATTCTTGTTCACACATGTTCTTGGTTAGCTTCAGGCCGGGATCTTGAGGCGTCTTCACTGGCTTGCTGTTATCCATTCCGAACTTGGTTAACACGGACTTGAGGAACTTGGTTCGTTGTACAGTCACCATTCCCGTCTTACGGTCGTTCTTGATCTCCATCCCGAGGAAGTACTTGAGCTCTCCGAGATCCGTCATTTCGAAGCGTTTGCTCAGCGCCATCTTGGTTGACTTGAGGAGTTCGTTGTTGCTGCTGGCCAGGATGAGATCATCGACGTAGAGTACCACGAAAATCATGTCTTGGTCGTCTCGCTTGATGTAGATGCAGTGGTCCGATTCGCACTTCTTGAATCCCATCTTGATCATGAACCCATCGATTGTTTGGTTCCACATGCGAGGCGATTGCTTCAAGCCGTAGAGTGATCTCTTTAGCTTGCACACATAGTCCGGCTGTGTTGCATCCAGGTATCCGTCCGGCTGGTCCATGTAGATGTCTTCGTTGAGGGAGCCGTTAAGAAACGCTGTCTTGACGTCCATCTGATGTAGCATCAGGCCGTACTTAGCCGCCATATACTGAGCACCACACGAATCGATGTGAACTTGGCCACCGGTGCGAAAGTTTCTTCATAGTCAACTCCGAATTTCTGTGAGAATCCTTTGGCCACAAGTCTTGCCTTGAAACGTTCAACTTCGCCATCTTGATTCTCCTTTACACGAAAAACCCATCGGCACCCGATGGCCTTGCGACTTCGGAAGAGGCACGATTTCCCACGTGTCGTTTCTCTGAAGCGAGTCGAACTCCGAGTCACACGCTTCTTTCCACTTGCCGGAGTCGCTTGATTCCATCGCCGACTTGAATGTAGTCGGCGTTTCCCCACTGAATCAACGATGTAGGCTGCTTCAAAATCCATTGCAGCCGCTGACACATGCTCAAGCGACGGACCTCTGTATGTTCTTCGCTTGGGACTTGGAATGACGGTAGCTTTCTCAAGTGATTGAGTGCGCGTGTGTCTCTTGATGTTGCTCTTCGAAGACCTGGTGTCTTCGTTGTCATCGTCGCTCGAGTCCATGTCGTCGTCAGTTTTTACCTTCTTCTTTTTCTTCGTCCTCATCATGATCATCAAACTCAACGACACTTGACTCATCGTTGTAGTTGCGCGGACCTTCATCAAACTTGTCTTCCATGAATGTGGCATCGCGACTGATCTTGATCGCTCCTGTTGACACTTCCTCAAATCGATATGACTTCTGGTGTTCGGCGTATCCCAGGAAACGACAGAGTGATGACTTGGAGTCGAACTTCGCGCGTTTGTCTTGAGGCACTTGAACATACGCGTGGCATCCAAACACTTTAAGGTTGGCCAGAATCGGTTTCTTCATCGTCCACACTTGATATGGAGACTTGTCTTGGTGAATGGCACGTGTTGGACAGCGGTTTCGAAGAAACATCGCCGTCATCACTGCTTTGTTGTAAGTGCATGATGCACTGGATTCGACTCCAGAGATTCGACCCATGATAGGGTATGTCTAGAATGTTCTTTAGGGTTCTATGCATTATTATAGGTCGTACGGCAGCTAGACGTATGGATAGTTCTCACTTGTAGATTGACAAACCACTGATGAGGCCCCCGGCGGGGGGCCGAAACGCGTCTGGTGCGCGGTAATATACAAGTCATTTACTTTACTTAACTCTTACTTCTTACAGGTTATGAGCCCAAGTGCTCGCTACAGACACCTCACCAAGGACCAACTTGTGCGAGGGACACCCCGTCAGAGAAGGCGCTCGATGCACGAGTAAGGCGCCGAAGAATTCATCGACAGGGATCGTTGACGGTGCGCGTGCAGTCGAAAAGGGTTTGTGCAAGGGTGGTGACGCGAGATGGTCTGAATGCGCGAGTGCTATCGAAGGAAGGGTCAAGTCGAGTGGTGACAAGTGTATTTGTGGTCAAGAAGAAGTGGAAACTACATGCAAGGCGAACGACGACTACGAGATGTCAAGATGTGACATGGTGCTGGACGATGGGGGAGCTGGAATACCTGGAACGCTCGGTATCATCGAGGTTGGCTGGAGCGCAGGGGCAAGACTCAATCAAGATTCCCATGGTGCACGGATGCAGCAGTGAGGATTACAGGCGGGTCGATACCAAAGTGGTCTGCATCTCATGTCGTCGAGGGGGAGTGTTGTAAGTGCATGATGCACTGGATTCGACTCCAGAGATTCGACCCATGATAGGGTATGTCTAGAATGTTCTTTAGGGTTCTATGCATTATTATAGGTCGTACGGCAGCTAGACGTATGGATAGTTCTCACTTGTAGATTGACAAACCACTGATGAGGCCCCCGGCGGGGGGCCGAAACGCGTCTGGTGCACGGTAATATACAAGTCATTTACTTTACTTAACTCTTACTTCTTACAGGTTATGAGCCCAAGTGCTCGCTACAGACACCTCACCAAGGACCAACTTGTGCGAGGGACACCCCGTCAGAGAAGGCGCTCGATGCACGAGTAAGGCGCCGAAGAATTCATCGACAGGGATCGTTGACGGTGCGCGTGCAGTCGAAAAGGGTTTGTGCAAGGGTGGTGACGCGAGATGGTCTGAATGCGCGAGTGCTATCGAAGGAAGAGTCAAGTCAAGTGGTGACAAGTGTATTTGTGGTCAAGAAGAAGTGGAAACTACATCCAAGGCGAACGACGACTACGAGATGTCAAGATGTGACATGGTGCTGGACGATGGGGGAGCTGGAATACCTGGAACGCTCGGTATCATCGAGGTTGGCTGGAGCGCAGGGGCAAGACTCAATCAAGATTCCCATGGTGCACGGATGCAGCAGTGAGGATTACAGGCGGGTCGATACCAAAGTGGTCTGCATCTCATGTCGTCGAGGGGGAGTGTTGTAAGTGCATGATGCACTGGATTCGACTCCAGAGATTCGACCCATGATAGGGTATGTCTAGAATGTTCTTTAGGGTTCTATGCATTATTATAGGTCGTACGGCAGCTAGACGTATGGATAGTTCTCACTTGTAGATTGACAAACCACTGATGAGGCCCCCGGCGGGGGGCCGAAACGCGTCTGGTGCGCGGTAATATACAAGTCATTTACTTTACTTAACTCTTACTTCTTACATGCTTCACCCCAGTAGCTCTTTCCCAGTCCAGCGTGTTCCATCATGCAACGCGCACACTCGACCAGCGTGCGATTCATTCTCTCAGCTACTCCGTTTAGCTGAGGAGTATATGGGGGTGTGAACCTTTGTTGTATTCCCCGTTCCGCGCAGAATCGTGCCAGCTTGTCGGACTTGTATTCACCCCCATTGTCGCTTTGAAGGTACTTCACGCGCTTTCCGGTTTGCGTTTCGGCCATCGCAGCGTATTCCATGAACTTCGCCGCAACTTCAGATTTGCTCTTGAGCAGATAGACGACACAGTATCTTGACTTGTCATCAATGAATGTCACGAAGTACCGTTTTCCACTGAAAGTTGCCATCGACATCGGTCCGCATACGTCGCTGTGAATCACTTCGAGGAGTTTGGAGGTGCGAGCTGTAGTGTTTGATTGGAAGCGCACTCGAGTCTGTTTTCCCAGAGCACAACCTTCACACACGTCCCACTTCTTCACCGAAGATATGTCGATGCCAATTCCAATGTTCTTCGTCACGATGCAATTGAGTCCATCGTGACCTATGTGGCCAAGCCGAAGGTGCCAGAGGTACGACTTGGTGCCCCCTTGACATCCCGACGACTTGGCTGCATTTGCTTGTTCCGGCGCCACTGGAGTCATTTGCAGCTTGAACAGTCCTTTACCTTCACGGGCACCAATTTTCCACTTGGTCCCTTTCGCTTCTCCATAGCACCCATCCTTCGTGAACGTCACTGGGCCGACATCCTTGGTGAAGCGGCCGACCGAGAACAGGTTTCTGGATAACTTTGGGATGTGCCACACGTTTGTGAGCACACCTTTCTTCATCCCTTGGGGTGTCTTCATCGACATGACAATGTCCCCACTGCCGATTGCTTGGACGATTCCATCATCCGCGAGATGGACATCCACAGCGTCAAACCCCTTGTAGTTCCGCATGAACTTCTTGGAGCACGTCATGTGCTGCGTCGCCCCGGAGTCGACCAGCCAGATGTCGCTCGATTTCGCAGATGTCGTTTCACCGATCGAAAAGAGGTAGTCGCCCGAGTCTTCTTCTTGAGCGACGTTTGCACGTTGTGATCGATAGCGGTCGCCGCTGTCTTGAGCACGCTGTGGCCGGTGTCTCTCCGTGTTTTCTTGGATGCGCGAGGGGCACTCCGCCATCCAATGACCAATCTTTCCGCAATTGTGGCACGGCCAGGACTTCTTCACTGGTCGCCCTTTGCGCTGATTGTCCCCTTGTGATGAACGCTTGACCTTGCGAAGCTTCATCACCTTTACTTCCTTGCTCCTTCCGCTTCATTTCTTCATGAAGCAGTCGAGACGTCACGAGCTCCCAGCTAAGAGTGTCTGAGCGCGACTCCAAAGCTGTGATCAAGAATTGATACGAGTCACTCAGGCTGCCGAGGAGTGTGATCACCAGATCGTCCTCGCAGACTGGAGCCCCCACCGCTTCTAGCTGTTCCGCCAGCGTCTTGAGCTTGTTGATGTGTTCGAGCACATCGTCGCCTTCTTCCATCATTGTCGTGAAGAAGCGACGGCGCAAGAACAGCTTGTTGGCAAGACTCTTCTTCTCGAAGTGGTCTTCCAACCTTGACCATGCGTCGCATGCACCACTTGCCGACCGGACCAACGGTAGCTGGGAATCTTCCATGGCTAGACAGATCACTGCCATCGCCTTTCTTGACTTCCTCTTGTACGTCGCTTGGTCCAACTGAGTCTCGCACTGTTCCGCCTTGATCTCACCGCTGACGACCTCCCATAGGTCCCGTTCCTCCAGCACCATCTGCATCTTGAACTTCCAGGCGTGGAAGTTAGTTCCATCGAACTTGGAGATGCGGAGGGAGGAGGCGTCCATGGCAGCTAAGCTTGAATTGTTGGCGGTTTCAGAGTCTGACGAACTTGGGCTCATAACCTGATGAACTTTAGACTTCTTGGTCCGAGTGCAAAACGCAAAGTGAATATATATTTATAATAGGTACTTAGTTCGCAACTTTGAATACTACCTCTAAGCCTATTATTCGCAGTGACGTCATCCAGTGACGTCACCCACTGACGTCACCCACTGACGTCATGCAATGACGTCATCCAGTGACGTCATTTCCTGACTTCGCCCTTACTGGTACATACCGGTACCCACCGGTATAGCGAGGCTTGGTCTTCCACTTGCTTCAACACTTGACGCAGCTTGACGAGGTGTCTTCTTCACAGCCGCTGTCTTTTCAACAAATCCTTTGGCCACAAGTCTTGCCTTGAAACGTTCAACTTCGCCATCTTGATTCTCCTTTACACGAAAAACCCATCGGCACCCGATGGCCTTGCGACCTTTCGGAAGAGGCACGATTTCCCACGTGTCGTTTCTCTGAAGCGAATCGAACTCCGAGTCACACGCTTCTTTCCACTTGCCGGAGTCGCTTGATTCCATCGCCGACTTGAATGTAGTCGGCGTTTCCCCACTGAATCAACGATGTAGGCTGCTTCAAAATCCATTGCAGCCGCTGACACATGCTCAAGCGACGGACCTCTGTATGTTCTTCGCTTGGGACTTGGAATGACGGTAGCTTTCTCAAGTGATTGAGTGCGCGTGTGTCTCTTGATGTTGCTCTTCGAAGACCTGGTGTCTTCGTTGTCATCGTCGCTCGAGTCCATGTCGTCGTCAGTTTTACCTTCTTCTTTTTCTTCGTCCTCATCATGATCATCAAACTCAACGACACTTGACTCATCGTTGTAGTTGCGCGGACCTTCATCAAACTTGTCTTCCATGAATGTGGCATCGCGACTGATCTTGATCGCTCCTGTTGACACTTCCTCAAATCGATATGACTTCTGGTGTTCGGCGTATCCCAGGAAACGACAGAGTGATGACTTGGAGTCGAACTTCGCGCGTTTGTCTTGAGGCACTTGAACATACGCGTGGCATCCAAACACTTTAAGGTTGGCCAGAATCGGTTTCTTCATCGTCCACACTTGATATGGAGACTTGTCTTGGTGAATGGCACGTGTTGGACAGCGGTTTCGAAGAAACATCGCCGTCATCACTGCTTCACCCCAGTAGCTCTTTCCCAGTCCAGCGTGTTCCATCATGCAACGCGCACACTCGACCAGCGTGCGATTCATTCTCTCAGCTACTCCGTTTAGCTGAGGAGTATATGGGGGTGTGAACCTTTGTTGTATTCCCCGTTCCGCGCAGAATCGTGCCAGCTTGTCGGACTTGTATTCACCCCCATTGTCGCTTTGAAGGTACTTCACGCGCTTTCCGGTTTGCGTTTCGGCCATCGCAGCGTATTCCATGAACTTCGCCGCAACTTCAGATTTGCTCTTGAGCAGATAGACGACACAGTATCTTGACTTGTCATCAATGAATGTCACGAAGTACCGTTTTCCACTGAAAGTTGCCATCGACATCGGTCCGCATACGTCGCTGTGAATCACTTCGAGGAGTTTGGAGGTGCGAGCTGTAGTGTTTGATTGGAAGCGCACTCGAGTCTGTTTTCCCAGAGCACAACCTTCACACACGTCCCACTTCTTCACCGAAGATATGTCGATGCCAATTCCAATGTTCTTCGTCACGATGCAATTGAGTCCATCGTGACCTATGTGGCCAAGCCGAAGGTGCCAGAGGTACGACTTGGTGCCCCCTTGACATCCCGACGACTTGGCTGCATTTGCTTGTTCCGGCGCCACTGGAGTCATTTGCAGCTTGAACAGTCCTTTACCTTCACGGGCACCAATTTTCCACTTGGTCCCTTTCGCTTCTCCATAGCACCCATCCTTCGTGAACGTCACTGGGCCGACATCCTTGGTGAAGCGGCCGACCGAGAACAGGTTTCTGGATAACTTTGGGATGTGCCACACGTTTGTGAGCACACCTTTCTTCATCCCTTGGGGTGTCTTCATCGACATGACAATGTCCCCACTGCCGATTGCTTGGACGATTCCATCATCCGCGAGATGGACATCCACAGCGTCAAACCCCTTGTAGTTCCGCATGAACTTCTTGGAGCACGTCATGTGCTGCGTCGCCCCGGAGTCGACCAGCCAGATGTCGCTCGATTTCGCAGATGTCGTTTCACCGATCGAAAAGAGGTAGTCGCCCGAGTCTTCTTCTTGAGCGACGTTTGCACGTTGTGATCGATAGCGGTCGCCGCTGTCTTGAGCACGCTGTGGCCGGTGTCTCTCCGTGTTTTCTTGGATGCGCGAGGGGCACTCCGCCATCCAGTGACCAATCTTTCTGCAATTGTGGCACGGCCAGGACTTCTTCACTGGTCGCCCTTTGCGCTGATTGTCCCTTGTGATGAACGCTTGACCTTGCGAAGCTTCATCACCTTTACTTCCTTGCTCCTTCCGCTTCATTTCTTCATGAAGCAGTCGAGACGTCACGAGCTCCCAGCTAAGAGTGTCTGAGCGCGACTCCAAAGCTGTGATCAAGAATTGATACGAGTCACTCAGGCTGCCGAGGAGTGTGATCACCAGATCGTCCTCGCAGACTGGAGCCCCCACCGCTTCTAGCTGTTCCGCCAGCGTCTTGAGCTTGTTGATGTGTTCGAGCACATCGTCGCCTTCTTCCATCATTGTCGTGAAGAAGCGACGGCGCAAGAACAGCTTGTTGGCAAGACTCTTCTTCTCGAAGTGGTCTTCCAACCTTGACCATGCGTCGCATGCACCACTTGCCGACCGGACCAACGGTAGCTGGGAATCTTCCATGGCTAGACAGATCACTGCCATCGCCTTTCTTGACTTCCTCTTGTACGTCGCTTGGTCCAACTGAGTCTCGCACTGTTCCGCCTTGATCTCACCGCTGACGACCTCCCATAGGTCCCGTTCCTCCAGCACCATCTGCATCTTGAACTTCCAGGCGTGGAAGTTAGTTCCATCGAACTTGGAGATGCGGAGGGAGGAGGCGTCCATGGCAGCTAAGCTTGAATTGTTGGCGGTTTCAGAGTCTGACGAACTTGGGCTCATAACCTGATGAACTTTAGACTTCTTGGTCCGAGTGCAAAACGCAAAGTGAATATATATTTATAATAGGTACTTAGTTCGCAACTTTGAATACTACCTCTAAGCCTATTATTCGCAGTGACGTCATCCAGTGACGTCATTTCCTGACTTCGCCCTTACTGGTACATACCGGTACCCACCGGTATAGCGAAGCTTGGTCTTCCACTTGCTTCAACACTTGACGCAGCTTGACGAGGTGTCTTCTTCACAGCCGCTGTCTTTTCAACACTGAGATACCTGCAAGCAACGCCCAATCATGGTCTTGAGTTTACACGTGAAGAAGGAAGCCGTATCTGCGGGTACACCGACGCAGACTGGGCCGGCGGCATTGAGTCAAGACGAAGTACAAGCGGCTATGTGTTCATGATGAGCGGAGGATGCATCAGCTGGAAAAGCCAGAAACAACGGACGGTCGCGCTATCTTCAACAGAAGCAGAATACATGGCGCTTTCCGAAGCAACCAAAGAAGCAGTATGGCTCAAAGTGCTTTTGGGGGAACTTGGTGAGATGACAAGCGACGAAGCGATCAAGATGTATGAAGACAACCAAGGATCAATCGCTCTCGCCAAGAACCCGGAGTTCCATAAGAGAACAAAACACATCGACATACGCTACCATTTTGTGCGTGAGAAGGTGGAATCAGGTGAAGTCGTTTTGGAGTATTGCCCGACTCAAGATATGCTGGCAGACATGATGACCAAGCCGATCGCCGCTGTACAATTTGAAAACATTCGCGATCGACTTGGGATCCAAGGTGCCGCAGCTAACGAGTCGAGAGGGAGTGTTGAAAAGACAGCGGCTGTGAAGAAGACACCTCGTCAAGCTGCGTCAAGTGTTGAAGCAAGTGGAAGACCAAGCTTCGCTATACCGGTGGGTACCGGTATGTACCAGTAAGGGCGAAGTCAGGAAATGACGTCACTGGATGACGTCATTGCATGACGTCAGTGGGTGACGTCAGTGGGTGACGTCACTGCGAATAATAGGCTTAGAGGTAGTATTCAAAGTTGCGAACTAAGTACCTATTATAAATATATATTCACTTTGCGTTTTGCACTCGGACCAAGAAGTCTAAAGTTCATCAGGTTATGAGCCCAAGTTCGTCAGACTCTGAAACCGCCAACAATTCAAGCTTAGCTGCCATGGACGCCTCCTCCCTCCGCATCTCCAAGTTCGATGGAACTAACTTCCACGCCTGGAAGTTCAAGATGCAGATGGTGCTGGAGGAACGGGACCTATGGGAGGTCGTCAGCGGTGAGATCAAGGCGGAACAGTGCGAGACTCAGTTGGACCAAGCGACGTACAAGAGGAAGTCAAGAAAGGCGATGGCAGTGATCTGTCTAGCCATGGAAGATTCCCAGCTACCGTTGGTCCGGTCGGCAAGTGGTGCATGCGACGCATGGTCAAGGTTGGAAGACCACTTCGAGAAGAAGAGTCTTGCCAACAAGCTGTTCTTGCGCCGTCGCTTCTTCACGACAATGATGGAAGAAGGCGACGATGTGCTCGAACACATCAACAAGCTCAAGACGCTGGCGGAACAGCTAGAAGCGGTGGGGGCTCCAGTCTGCGAGGACGATCTGGTGATCACACTCCTCGGCAGCCTGAGTGACTCGTATCAATTCTTGATCACAGCTTTGGAGTCGCGCTCAGACACTCTTAGCTGGGAGCTCGTGACGTCTCGACTGCTTCATGAAGAAATGAAGCGGAAGGAGCAAGGAAGTAAAGGTGATGAAGCTTCGCAAGGTCAAGCGTTCATCACAAGGGACAATCAGCGCAAAGGGCGACCAGTGAAGAAGTCCTGGCCGTGCCACAATTGCAGAAAGATTGGTCACTGGATGGCGGAGTGCCCCTCGCGCATCCAAGAAAACACGGAGAGACACCGGCCACAGCGTGCTCAAGACAGCGGCGACCGCTATCGATCACAACGTGCAAACGTCGCTCAAGAAGAAGACTCGGGCGACTACCTCTTTTCGATCGGTGAAACGACATCTGCGAAATCGAGCGACATCTGGCTGGTCGACTCCGGGGCGACGCAGCACATGACGTGCTCCAAGAAGTTCATGCGGAACTACAAGGGGTTTGACGCTGTGGATGTCCATCTCGCGGATGATGGAATCGTCCAAGCAATCGGCAGTGGGGACATTGTCATGTCGATGAAGACACCCCAAGGGATGAAGAAAGGTGTGCTCACAAACGTGTGGCACATCCCAAAGTTATCCAGAAACCTGTTCTCGGTCGGCCGCTTCACCAAGGATGTCGGCCCAGTGACGTTCACGAAGGATGGGTGCTATGGAGAAGCGAAAGGGACCAAGTGGAAAATTGGTGCCCGTGAAGGTAAAGGACTGTTCAAGCTGCAAAATGACTCCAGTGGCGCCGGAACAAGCAAATGCAGCCAAGTCGTCGGGATGTCAAGGGGGCACCAAGTCGTACCTCTGGCACCTTCGGCTTGGCCACATAGGTCACGATGGACTCAATTGCATCGTGACGAAGAACATTGGAATTGGCATCGACATATCTTCGGTGAAGAAGTGGGACGTGTGTGAAGGTTGTGCTCTGGGAAAACAGACTCGAGTGCGCTTCCAATCAAACACTACAGCTCGCACCTCCAAACTCCTCGAAGTGATTCACAGCGACGTATGCGGACCGATGTCGATGGCAACTTTCAGTGGAAAACGGTACTTCGTGACATTCATTGATGACAAGTCAAGATACTGTGTCGTCTATCTGCTCAAGAGCAAATCTGAAGTTGCGGCGAAGTTCATGGAATACGCTGCGATGGCCGAAACGCAAACCGGAAAGCGCGTGAAGTACCTTCAAAGCGACAATGGGGGTGAATACAAGTCCGACAAGCTGGCACGATTCTGCGCGGAACGGGGAATACAACAAAGGTTCACACCCCCATATACTCCTCAGCTAAACGGAGTAGCTGAGAGAATGAATCGCACGCTGGTCGAGTGTGCGCGTTGCATGATGGAACACGCTGGACTGGGAAAGAGCTACTGGGGTGAAGCAGTGATGACGGCGATGTTTCTTCGAAACCGCTGTCCAACACGTGTCATTCACCAAGACAAGTCTCCATATCAAGTGTGGACGATGAAGAAACCGATTCTGGCCAACCTTAAAGTGTTTGGATGCCACGCGTATGTTCAAGTGCCTCAAGACAAACGCGCGAAGTTCGACTCCAAGTCATCACTCTGTCGTTTCCTGGGATACGCCGAACACCAGAAGTCATATCGATTTGAGGAAGTGTCAACAGGAGCGATCAAGATCAGTCGCGATGCCACATTCATGGAAGACAAGTTTGATGAAGGTCCGCGCAACTACAACGATGAGTCAAGTGTCGTTGAGTTTGATGATCATGACGAGGACGAAGAAAAAGAAGAAGGTAAAACTGACGACGACATGGACTCGAGCGACGATGACAACGAAGACACCAGGTCTTCGAAGAGCAACATCAAGAGACACACGCGCACTCAATCACTTGAGAAAGCTACCGTCATTCCAAGTCCCAAGCGAAGAACATACAGAGGTCCGTCGCTTGAGCATGTGTCAGCGGCTGCAATGGATTTTGAAGCAGCCTGCATCGTTGATTCAGTGGGGGAAACGCCGACTACATTCAAGTCGGCGATGGAATCAAGCGACTCCGGCAAGTGGAAAGAAGCGTGTGACTCGGAGTTCGATTCGCTTCAAAAAAAAAGACATGTGGGAAATCGTGCCTCTTCCGAAAGGTCGCAAGGCCATCGGGTGCCGATGGGTTTTTCGTGTAAAGGAGAATCAAGATGGCGAAGTTGAACGTTTCAAGGCAAGACTTGTGGCCAAAGGATTCTCACAGAAATTCGGAGCTGACTATGAAGAAACTTTCGCACCGGTGGCCAAGTTCACATCGATTCGTGTGGTGCTCAGTATGGCCGCTAAGTACGGCCTGATGCTACATCAGATGGACGTCAAGACAGCGTTTCTTAACGGCTCCCTCAACGAAGACATCTACATGGACCAGCCGGACGGATACCTGGATGCAACACAGCCGGACTATGTGTGCAAGCTAAAGAGATCACTCTACGGCTTGAAGCAATCGCTTCGCATGTGGAACCAAACAATCGATGGGTTCATGATCAAGATGGGATTCAAGAAGTGCGAATCGGACCACTGCATCTACATCAAGCGAGACGACCAAGACATGATTCTCGTGGTGCTCTACGTCGATGATCTCATCCTGGCCAGCAGCAACAACGAACTCCTCAAGTCAACCAAGATGGCGCTGAGCAAACGCTTCGAAATGACGGATCTCGGTGAGCTCGATTACTTTCTCGGCATGGAGATCAAGAACGACCGTAAGACGGGAATGGTGACTGTACAACAAACCAAGTTTCTCAAGTCCGTGTTAACCAAGTTCGGAATGGATAACAGCAAGCCAGTGAAGACGCCTCAAGATCCCGGCCTGAAGCTAACCAAGAACATGTGTGAACAAGAATGCAAGCACGAAGACACCATGTGCAACGTGCCATATCGAAGTGCTGTCGGAGGCATCATGTATCTCATGGTCGCCACACGTCCGGATCTAGCTGCTGCAGTGGGATCATTATCCCAGTTCTCGTCCGACCCATGCCCGACTCACTGGCAAGCTTTGAAGCGGTGCTGAGATACCTGCAAGCAACGCCCAATCATGGTCTTGAGTTTACACGTGAAGAAGGAAGCCGTATCTGCGGGTACACCGACGCAGACTGGGCCGGCGACATTGAGTCAAGACGAAGTACAAGCGGCTATGTGTTCATGATGAGCGGAGGATGCATCAGCTGGAAAAGCCAGAAACAACGGACGGTCGCGCTATCTTCAACAGAAGCAGAATACATGGCGCTTTCCGAAGCAACCAAAGAAGCAGTATGGCTCAAAGTGCTTTTGGGGGAACTTGGTGAGATGACAAGCGACGAAGCGATCAAGATGTATGAAGACAACCAAGGATCAATCGCTCTCGCCAAGAACCCGGAGTTCCATAAGAGAACAAAACACATCGACATACGCTACCATTTTGTGCGTGAGAAGGTGGAATCAGGTGAAGTCGTTTTGGAGTATTGCCCGACTCAAGATATGCTGGCAGACATGATGACCAAGCCGATCGCCGCTGTACAATTTGAAAACATTCGCGATCGACTTGGGATCCAAGTGCCGCAGCTAACGAGTCGAGAGGGAGTGTTGAAAAGACAGCGGCTGTGAAGAAGACACCTCGTCAAGCTGCGTCAAGTGTTGAAGCAAGTGGAAGACCAAGCTTCGCTATACCGGTGGGTACCGGTATGTACCAGTAAGGGCGAAGTCAGGAAATGACGTCACTGGATGACGTCATTGCATGACGTCAGTGGGTGACGTCAGTGGGTGACGTCACTGGATGACGTCACTGCGAATAATAGGCTTAGAGGTAGTATTCAAAGTTGCGAACTAAGTACCTATTATAAATATATATTCACTTTGCGTTTTGCACTCGGACCAAGAAGTCTAAAGTTCATCACTCAGCACACGCTTCAAAGCTTGCCAGTGAGTCGGGCATGGGTCGGACGAGAACTGGGATAATGATCCCACTGCAGCAGCTAGATCCGGACGTGTGGCGACCATGAGATACATGATGCCTCCGACAGCACTTCGATATGGCACGTTGCACATGGTGTCTTCGTGCTTGCATTCTTGTTCACACATGTTCTTGGTTAGCTTCAGGCCGGGATCTTGAGGCGTCTTCACTGGCTTGCTGTTATCCATTCCGAACTTGGTTAACACGGACTTGAGAAACTTGGTTTGTTGTACAGTCACCATTCCCGTCTTACGGTCGTTCTTGATCTCCATGCCGAGAAAGTAATCGAGCTCACCGAGATCCGTCATTTCGAAGCGTTTGCTCAGCGCCATCTTGGTTGACTTGAGGAGTTCGTTGTTGCTGCTGGCCAGGATGAGATCATCGACGTAGAGCACCACGAGAATCATGTCTTGGTCGTCTCGCTTGATGTAGATGCAGTGGTCCGATTCGCACTTCTTGAATCCCATCTTGATCATGAACCCATCGATTGTTTGGTTCCACATGCGAAGCGATTGCTTCAAGCCGTAGAGTGATCTCTTTAGCTTGCACACATAGTCCGGCTGTGTTGCATCCAGGTATCCGTCCGGCTGGTCCATGTAGATGTCTTCGTTGAGGGAGCCGTTAAGAAACGCTGTCTTGACGTCCATCTGATGTAGCATTAGGCCGTACTTAGCCGCCATACTGAGCACCACACGAATCGATGTGAACTTGGCCACCGGTGCGAAAGTTTCTTCATAGTCAACTCCGAATTTCTGTGAGAATCCTGATGAACTTTAGACTTCTTGGTCCGAGTGCAAAACGCAAAGTGAATATATATTTATAATAGGTACTTAGTTCGCAACTTTGAATACTACCTCTAAGCCTATTATTCGCAGTGACGTCATCCAGTGACGTCACCCACTGACGTCACCCACTGACGTCATGCAATGACGTCATCCAGTGACGTCATTTCCTGACTTCGCCCTTACTGGTACATACCGGTACCCACCGGTATAGCGAAGCTTGGTCTTCCACTTGCTTCAACACTTGACGCAGCTTGACGAGGTGTCTTCTTCACAGCCGCTGTCTTTTCAACACTCCCTCTCGACTCGTTAGCTGCGGCACCTTGGATCCCAAGTCGATCGCGAATGTTTTCAAATTGTGCAGCGGCGATCAGCTTGGTCATCATGTCTGCCAGCATATCTTGAGTCGGGCAATACTCCAAAACGACTTCACCTGATTCCACCTTCTCACGCACAAAATGGTAGCGTATGTCGATGTGTTTTGTTCTCTTATGGAACTCCGGGTTCTTGGCGAGAGCGATTGATCCTTGGTTGTCTTCATACATCTTGATCGCTTCGTCGCTTGTCATCTCACCAAGTTCCCCCAAAAGCACCTTGAGCCATACTGCTTCTTTGGTTGCTTCGGAAAGCGCCATGTATTCTGCTTCTGTTGAAGATAGCGCGACCGTCCGTTGTTTCTGGCTTTTCCAGCTGATGCATCCTCCGTTCATCATGAACACATAGCCGCTTGTACTTCGTCTTGACTCAATGTCGCCGGCCCAGTCTGCGTCGGTGTACCCGCAGATACGGCTTCCTTCTTCACGTGTAAACTCAAGACCATGATTGGGCGTTGCTTGCAGGTATCTCAGCACACGCTTCAAAGCTTGCCAGTGAGTCGGGCATGGGTCGGACGAGAACTGGGATAATGATCCCACTGCAGCAGCTAGATCCGGACGTGTGGCGACCATGAGATACATGATGCCTCCGACAGCACTTCGATATGGCACGTTGCACATGGTGTCTTCGTGCTTGCATTCTTGTTCACACATGTTCTTGGTTAGCTTCAGGCCGGGATCTTGAGGCGTCTTCACTGGCTTGCTGTTATCCATTCCGAACTTGGTCAACACGGACTTGAGAAACTTGGTTTGTTGCACAGTCACCATTCCCGTCTTACGGTCGTTCTTGATCTCCATGCCGAGAAAGTAATCGAGCTCACCGAGATCCGTCATTTCGAAGCGTTTGCTCAGCGCCATCTTGGTCGACTTGAGGAGTTCGTTGTTGCTGC